CCCTAAATCCTGAACCCGAACAGGCTTACTGTTAGGGGTGTAAGGATTGGGATGTTTTGTTTGGTTCACCTCCCTAACCTGTGAACCTCAACTTGCATCTGCGCACTCACGCTGGAATAGCAGGCTCTCCACCTGCACGCGCGAGACCTGCGCGCAGAAAAGGAGCTTCGGACTAGTGAATTTGGTTGGCCAGTCGGCCGGGAACAACTTTTGCTTGATGGGATTTAGAAGGAAACCTCACCCAGGCACCCCCCAACCTATGCACGGCTCATGCGGCAGATGCCCCCCAACAGGTATCGACAGAACACGACCATACTACTGTATTTGGATGCCGTAGGGGTGCTCTTGCCATGAAATACTCTATCACCATGCCATACCGGCCCCCCATTTCGCCAGAACACCTGTGCCATGGTGAGGTTGGCTGACTTTCAGCCTTGCTTTCAGAGCCGACGCTGTTGGACGCTCCTACCCTGGAAATGCTCAACGCAACGACGCGGCGCCAAACATTTCACTTAAAGACGCTGAAGACCTCAATACTTGAGACAAAGACCTCAGCGCAAACACAAGCCCAATTGCACAAAGCAATGAACAAATCACGAAGACATGTGCAACCCCAGCAACCCTGGCAGACTTAGCCGTGGAAGCGCTGGGTACTTGTGCTAAATACTCACAACTTCTCGGTACCCTTCAGCTGTAGCTTCGAAGCCACCCTGACTAAACTCCACAACAGCAAGTACAGTAAGTCTCTACTCACACAAGCCCCACACCAGCGCTTCCATACCTGATGCAGCGCTTCTAGCAGCAATACCAGTGGCCCATGGTCAATGGCATCTGCTGAGTTGCTAGCTTCCAGGCCTTGCTGGACTCAGGCTTCTTCTGCTGCCTTTACAAGCCCTCGAACTGTCAACCAACTTGGGTCAACAACTCCCTTCGTCACGGTCAATCTGAAGCTTCGGATTGGCTGGGGACATCGACACTGCACAATTATCGAGCCATCGTCCGCTGCATGACGCTGTGTATCAAGGATGAGGTTCCAATCTGAATCTGAATCTGATCCTTGGAGATGCCCCTTGTAGTGGACTTGCACCTGCATGTCCTGTGTCACATGCTGCTGCCGAAGGTGCCACATGCGCACCGGGGAGCTATGCCGAGAAAATGAAAATGTGAACCCGCTGATGCAAATTGGGGTGCGCAACAACGTCCAAGACATCCAATCACCAGGCTCCAGCTTCATATTTGCCTCTGGGCTGTTTCTGGCAAGGTCCTGCCCATCAATGTTATTCAAGGGAAAACGGGGGGGGAAAGGGATACATTCAGTCGGGTGCTCTTGGGCCTGGACATTGAGATGACGCGCGTCGCGTTTGCTCGGAGGAATAACCCTAAACCCTAAACCCAAAACCCTCTAAACCCCAAACCCTCGGCCCTAAACTAAGCGTGAGGTTCGGTCCTGGAGGAAGGTGGGAGATGGACACCCGCGTGTTAAAGATGGCCGGCTGAACTGCAGGTTCACATAGTACCCAAGAAAGAGGCCATCAGAGCCGTACCTGCTCTTAAGTGCACTGGCAACCCAACTCAGAGGCCAGACGCTGAAAACAGTCCTACAAGCAGCGGGGAGATTTATTGCGGGCCCAGGTACTGGTTCAGCATGTCTTGATGTAATGCCGAGAGCACGTCAAGAGCAAACTTGTTCTGGTCATCTGGCCGTACTAAGATCGCCTGCAATGCTTCTTTGCTGGACTCTGTCGACGCAGATTTCATCAACGAACTCTTCAATTCAAGGAACTTCGACATCGACATGTGGCTTGTGTGCACGTACTTCTCAATCAGAGGCTGAATGATGGGCAGGACCGACTCCAAGCCAACCGCGTTCCCCCATTTTGCGAAGAGTTCTAAGATGTCGGCATCGCTCATGCAGAGCAGGGGCGAACGGAACAGTTCATCCAGATGCTGAGCACTGAGGCATTGCCCGCTCTTCAGGGCCTGCTGCGGCTTGACCAAGATCTGCTCCCAACAAAGCTCTCGCAGCCCCTTAAGGTGATGGCGATCTGCGTATGCAAAGAGCTCACATGCGTTCTCCGCATTCAGCTCTGCACACAAACGCTGCAGGCAGATCTTTCCTACGTCATTCAGCTGAAGCCTGACAGCCTCTTCGAAGAGACTGAACATGTTGTGGGCAGATAGCTTTTTCCCAACATAGTCCACACAGAGTTGTCGCAGCTTACTCACGTCGTACTTGTCCGCAATGGCTGCAATCTCCAGCATCGTTGCGAGGGTGACGGTTTTGTCGATGACGCCAGAATATAGGAAGCGCAGAAAGGCTTCAACACCTTTAGCCGAGAAACCGCGGATCTCCACAGCGTGGCTTCTTGCTTCGTTGAACGGCCCTGTGATCATGCTCTCAAAGACTTTGGACCATGCGCAGAGGATGTCGGAGGACATGGAGAAGGTGATGCCGACGCCCTCTTCATAGCAGTCTTCCTTACACGAAACAAAGCAACATGCATAAACTGGCATAAACTACGATGAACCCACGCATCCACAAAGCGCAGCAAAATCTGCAGAAGACATGGCAAGCACTTTCAGAGATACGTCACGAACACAAGAACGTAGTACTAGAAGCGTCAGTAATTACAAGAAAAGCAACAGCCATCAAAATACTCTCGAAATTCCACCTCCCCCGCGTCTTCAGCCACATAGAAGAAGGGCATCTGAAATCCAGAAACCCTAAACCATCCCAGACCCTCAGTCGCCTTAAACTAACCCCCGAGCTGCCAAAGCTCTACGCCAATCACGAAGTCACCCTTCCTGTTGAAGTAGCACCCCAAGGTCTCCGCCACCAAGGCCTTCGCCTCAACCATGGCTACACCTCCCGGCGTCGCAGGCTTGCAAGCTGGAAGGCTTTGTGTCTGGGATTCCAGCCTTGGGGACGAAATGAACCCTAAAAGGGTTTATGGTTCATATACCTTAATAGGAGTTATAGTAGTACAGGGCATATGACCCCAATTTTAGGGTTCATTTGGTCCCCAAGGAGTGGGTCTCGGGCTCGGGGGAGGTTTAAGGTGGCAAGGTTCACATCGGCTGCCGACATCGTCGATGTCATCCCTGCACAAAAAATGATCGCCCCCCGTTTTTTTTGCAGACTACTACTACTACTACTACTACTACTACTACTACTACTACTACTACTACTACTACTACTACTACTACTACTGTTTTTTTTGCAGACCATCCCCCGGAGGTGTCAGAAGCAAACGAACAGGAGTCAGAAGCTTCTTGATTCGGCCTCCTGCTCCCCTAGACATCCTAGATGTCGCTGATTCCTCAAGCTTTAACGCGAAAACTGACACCCCCATGCGACAGCCCTAAACCCTAAACCCTAAACCCTTGAGTTCCAGGGTATGGGAACATGCAACACTCTGAGCCCTAAACCTTAAACCCATACACCAGCATGGGCCATATGAGGCTCTAGAACCCCCATAAACAGGTCGATTAGGGTTTAGGTTTAGGGTTTAGGGTTTAGGGTTTAAAATTAGGGTTTAGGAATAGCATGCAGGCTCCGGTTGACTTTCAAGTGTCAGGGTTCGAGGTTCGTGGCGCAAAGCGTTCTGACTTTCAAGTCATACGGGAAGCTAAATCCCGATGCCGTGTCCTAACTCACAGTGGCATATTCGAAACAATACACCCCTAAACCCTAAACCCTAACCCTAAACCCTAAACCCTCGACCCTAAACCCTAAACCCTAGTGATGTTTCTACTCTAGGAAACTATGCAGGCGCGTAGTACAGTATACCAAAACTTACCGCAGTGGACTCAGAATTTTGCGACACGCTGGCCTGGCCTCCTCTTTGTTGAGGTTTTGCGGCAAGCGTTTGGCTTCGCGCGTCTCGAAGGGCTGCGAGCCAAAGCTTTAGGGCAAGAGCCGCCAAAGAACGAACATCAGGGCCACCTCCAGGCTTCTATAGGCTTTAGCACTAGCTACTTGCCCTTGCTATATGACCGTTGACCGTGAACATGACTGAAAACTACAGTGGCATGGCCATGTCGCTACACCATAGACTTGAAAACCTAGCAAAGGCAAGGACTCCATCCTAAGACTTTCAATAACCGGGTAGACTTTCAATAACCGGGTAGCTATCTACATTGCGGTCCGCGTGTCGGGCAGGGGCGTGCTCACAGTATTGCCCATGAACCCAACAATCTCCCAAACCCTACAATGCAACGGTGCCGGGGTTGTAGACTTATAAGGTCTAGGGGAAACCTTAACTTCCCCGCTCCTAGGAACAGGGGTTCAGCTGTTGGGGTTTAACCCAGCTCCAATACCCCTTAGCCAGGGAATATTCCTTGAACCATATAAGGAACGCTCCAATATATTTGCAAGGAATATTCTTCAACTTAGGGGTGTTGGAGTTCCTGGGAAGAAGACTGCAACCTTGTCTATGGGATCGAGCGTAAAGGCACGCCTGGCCTCAAGGACAAGAGGAGCGCGGATGGCTACTCCTCGGGTTCGCTCGCGACTTGCTGGCGCCGACTTTTTTGCGTTTAGGGTTTTGGGTTTAGGCAAGCTTGGGGCCTACCTAAAAATCTTTTGGGGAGGGTGGGGGGGGGGGGGGGGGACCAATTTTGGGCCATACATGGCCATACGTAAATCGAGTGGTTGCAGGTGCGTGATTGCAAAACATCAGTCAGACGGCAATGGAAATTCTCAGGCTCGAGAGTTTCAGCCCTGCTCCATCCCCCAACTACTGAGGCTCACCCTAAACCCTAAACCCATAACCCAAAAAACCTTATAAATCCTAAACCCTCAACCCTAAACCCTGAACCTTAATCTTAATCCCTAAACCTTAACCCGAATCCCTAAACCTGAATCCCTAAACCCAGGACCCCCCAAAAACACCCCACCCCAAGTCTCCTTGTCCATGTCGAAGTCTTGCCGACACGGAAGGGGGAGCGCGGCCTGGGCTGGCATGCGTTTAAGGTTTAGGGTTTAGGGTGTAGGGTCTAGGGTTTAGGGTCTAGGTTTTGGGGTTTAGGGTTTCAGGGTCTAGGGTTAGGGTTTCGGGTTTAGGGTTGGGGGATGTGTGATAGCTTGCTTATCCAGAGGAAATCTGAAGGATAACCTTCGGGGCACTGAGAGGATCAACACCAAAAAGGGTTGGAGAGGCTACTTACTCTTGGCCTCAAGCTCAAGCCAGAAGCCTGTCCTGTCTCGCCTCAGTCCCAATCGTGGTTTAGGGTTTAGGGTTTAGGGTTTAGGGTTTAGTTTTGGGTCCAGGGTTGGTTTCGAACTTACCACCGAGGCACCTGGTCTGCCAGCAGTCTCGGCAAGAAGTGCAGCGCTTCCTGGGCGGCCGGAAGAGCCCCAGGGCAGGGCTTATAAACCCTAAACCCTGAACCCTAACCCTAAACCCTAAGCCCTCAACCCTAAACCCCAAACCTATAGGGTCTAAGGTAGGGAGCGCCGGTGTGAAATTGGGTGTGGGATATGGGTAGGGGTTACATGGGCGATAGGCTCCAGGGGCTCCAGGCGCCAAAAGAGCTTCTGGATTGCAACTATCAAAAGATTTAGGGTTTAGGTTTTAGGGCGTTGGGTTTAGGATTTTTGGATTTAGGGTGGGGTTACCCTACATGGAATTTCCCGAACTGGTCGACTAGTCATCAAAGAACTGTGCTATGCGAGCTCTTCAAGCTGACGTAGTACCCCAAACTCCCCAACCCTAAACCCTAAACCCTAAACCCTAAACCCTAAACCCTAAACCCTAAACCCTAAACCCTAAACCCTAAACCCTAAACCCCAAACCCTGGCCTTACAAGCCTGAAACCCTTACAAGCCTGAAACCCGACAAACCTGAAACCCCTAGCTCCTTAACCTCGAGCCCACGTAGCCCTGAACCACGGTCTACGCCCGGAGGCCACGGAAGATGCCACCGGCAGCACAGCGCGAGGGGGAACCTGCGCAGCGACACTGGCATATGCCAGGGTCGTTTTGGGGGGGTTTAGGAGTGGAATCAGAAAGCTCGCAGCTGGAAACGCCCCCAGTAACCCAAACTGCACAGCAACCCAAGTAATAAAAATGCACATCCGGCAGCGAAACTCGAAATCATCTTTAGGGTTTTGGGTTAGAGTTGATGGATTAAGGTTAAGCGTTTAGGGTACTGCTGAACCCGAACCAAGCCCTGCAGTAAACTCGCCTCCGAGACCTCCTTATGTGCGTGAGAGGGACCTCGTCTGACAGTGGCAGCGGCGGGTGCTGCAATGTTTCCTCCGCCGCTGATACGATCTCGGCGAAGCCAGAAGAAAGGTCTAGTGTTTTTTTTAAGGTTTAGGGCTTAGAATATAGGGTTTAAGGGTTTAAAACTTCGGCTTAGGGTTTGAGGGTTTGCGGGTTTAGGGTTTATAAGCGCTTAGGGTTCCCTAGGGTTCACCCGCAGCCCACTGCATTAGGGAATTTATACTAGACATACAGAAACAGATATATAAAATATAATCTAATATATAAAATCATATAATATAAAAAAAATTAATATAATATCATATAATATATAAGTATATAAATATAAACCCTGTTCGGGAAATTGTACTACCCCCCCTTTACACTACCCTCCCCACCCCCACCCCCCCCCCCCCCCCCCCCCCCCCCCCCCCCCCCCCGCCCCCCGCCCCACTGCCGCCCCCCACCCCACTCCCGCCACCCCTGCTCGGCCCCGTTACAGGGGAGGAGGGGAGGTCGGTGTAGGGTCCCTCATGACGATTGCTTGGGCAGACGGGCCTATGAACGTGAGCGCCAAACTGTGCCTGAACAACGATGTGGACATGGATAGGTCCAAGCCGCTGTCGAAGCTGCCGGTACCGTCCTTTACCAAGGCCATACTCCGAACTGGATGCATCAGACTGGCCGCGGAATCTTGTAGTCAGGACAAGACGAGGTGCTCCGATGGGCGTGCGAGCGCCTTGGCCGCTCTTAGATCTGTTGACGACCTATTTGGCATCGCTTGCGGAGCGAAACCACTCAGAGTGTAGAGTGCAGGGTGCAGGGCCAGGGTGTAGGGTGTAGCGTTTAGGGCTCAGGGTTTAGGGTTCAGGGTTTAGGGTTTAGGGTTTTCAGATCACCACCTAGTTGGTGGTAAGTTCGGAACGGCAGGTCAACCCCACTAGACCCTAAACCTCGAAACCAAAACGACGATCTCCAAAGCCCAACCCCAAAACCCCTTGTGAACAAGGGTCCCTCCTACTTGGCCCCTTAAAACTCTCAAGCCCCTAAAGCTACTCATCTGACAAGCCTTCAGCCCCAAAAACAGAGCTCATGATAGCCGCGCGGGGTACATAATCCGAATTTTGGGGTTCATTCCCTAGACCCTAGACCCTAGACCCTAAACCCTAAACCCTAAACCCTAAACCCTAAACCCTCTCCTAAGCCATGCCCATACTTGGCATTGTGTTGAACTTCCCTTTCAGGGGTCTCTTCGCCAGAAAAATTCCAAATTAAGTCCTAAGCCCCACACCTTAAACCCTAAACCCTCAACCCTAAACCCCAAACCAAACCCTGCAACAGCCCTCAGCCTCTACTCTCCAGACCGAGACCGCGGCCGCAGACAGCGGTGCCGGCTGGGTCTGCAGGTTATTCGTGACAGAGGTCTTTTTAGGTTTGCTATTCAGATTTGCATTTGAAGATGCATGAGCTCTTTGACAGGTTTAAATTGTTAGCTTTTGTTTGTCCGTTCGGTTGTGGGTTTCGATTTATGGCTTACACACAGGGGTTTAGGGTTGGCGGTGAAGGGCTGTTAGGATCTTTCCAGTGATCTTTGCTGGTTTTTAATATGCCCTACAGGCACTAAAGAGTTTCTAGGGGTTTGGGGTTTTAGGTAGTATAGGGGGGGCTTAGGGACCCAAGGGGCTTCTCTAAGACTTACAGAACTTCAGGAGGTACATACTTGGAGGTTCATGGTACTTCTGAACCAATTATAACTGCACTTCTAACCATATTAGGGCACGGAAGGGGCTTCTAAGTGGGTTTATAAGCACAGTTATTATTGGTTAGTAAGTACCATGAACCTCCAAGTAGGGCTTTCTGCAGTCGGATCGAAGCCAAGAACTTGGAGGGTTTGTCGGGTTTGGGTCTTGGGGGCCCTTTGGGGGCCTTTTGGGGCTTCTATGGTGGGCTCGTGGGGGGGGCTCACATGCCCAAAGGTTTGGGGTGTCTGCGGCTGCACGGGACTTTGAGGTTTAGGGCTGAGGGTTTACTACTTGTTGCTTAGAAACCCCAAAAATCTAGAATAGTAATCCCTATATTGCCCTTGTAAGGAATAAGTGTTTTTTTTTTGGGGGGGGTGTTCTTGATTAAGCAAATAGTAGTTAAGGGTGTGAGGTCATTGGGTCTCATGGGGATTAGAATTCTAGGGTGCTCCAAGTCTTCAGGCTCTTTGGGCTTCAGGACGGATGGGCAGCTGGCACGGTGCACTTCGAAACCCGAAGTCTCTAGAGTCAGGGGGTGTAAAGAAACCTCAAAACTCCCCTAAACCCTAAACCCTAAACCCTAAACCCTAAACCCTAAACCCTAAACCCTAAACCCTAAACCCTCTCTCTTGACCACAAAGCCCAAAGCCAGGAGAGCCCCAAGAGCGCAAATCCATCTTCATGAAGGCTTTTGTCATGATGGGAACCCTATATGGGTTTAGGGGTTTGGGTTTAGGGTTTAGGGCTAGGGTTTAGGGTTTAGGGTTTAGGGTTTAGGGTTTAGGGTTTAGGGTTTAGGGTTTAGGGTTTAGGGTTTAGGGTTTAGGGTTTAGGGTTTAGGGTTTAGGGTTTAGGGCTTGGGGTTTAGGGCTATAGGGCTTAGGGTTTAGGGGTAATTCTCTAAATGAGGGCCCATTTCGGGGATCTTTTACTTTTTCGGGTGCCGTACTATATATAAAGGACCCAAATTTAGCGAATTACCCATATCATATGAAGCAGTTGTTCTTAGTAGTATCCCAAAAGAGCACCCAAAATATACGCATTGTTTAAGGAAGCCTGTATACTCTCACCCATAATGGAAACATACACGATGTTTCATATCAGCCTTGGACTAGGTTACGAGTATGCCCCGTAAGGCAGTGGACTTTTTCTATTGGGTGACGGTGTCCATCCCGACGGCTTTTCCTCAGACCCCCCCCCCCCGGCCCCTGGTACAGTTCAAGGTCTATATTCCTCAAGTCAGGATTAACTGATTATTGCGGCAATCCTCGAAAACCCTGAATCTTAAGCCCTCAACCCTAACCCTAAAACCCGAAAAGCCAAACTTTGGGAGCAGCGCCTCAATGCGCGCTGCGGTGAGGCTCGAGCGGAGAAGCGCCTGGGGAGAGATGTCTTTTTGCTTTTCCTGCCTTCCCTTTTAAAGGTAGTTACATGGTCCCTTAAGGGCCCGCAAGAAGGGCACGCCTTATATATATATACAAATATATATATATATATTTTTTTTTGTATATATATATATATATACATATACACCCCTTGAATACCCAAACACACACTACGGGCCCATACATCAGAACCCCTTTCTTTTAAAGGAGGTTATAGGGACCATATTAAGGGCGCATGAATCTACCCTCAGACTCCCGGGACTACATGAGCCCTAACCATGTCCGACCCTGCGGAATCTTTCTAGCGCGGGATGTGGAGGGGAGTCAGAAAGTATTCCAAACTGGCGGCCAGCACAATCCGCCACATGGATCATGAACACGTTGAGGTGATTTTTGTACATAAGGCTCACCTTTAGGCCACAAAAGCATCAGCCCAAAAAACCTAACACCTATACCAAGCCACCGTAACCTTCGGCCCGCGCCTCACCCCCAAAGAAGACGAGAACCAAAACCAAAGCCAAGCACGGAAGCAATGAGGCTCAACAACAAAACGAAACCCAAACAAGTCACGCACTTAGCATGGTCTTGCCGAAACCCTAAACCGTAAACCAGATATTCTCGGCCTTGAACAGTTTCTAAGATCAGATTCAATTTCGGCAACACCCCTTTGGGCAAAGCAGCGTTTCCACTGTCTCCACTCTACTTGAAAGCTGGTTTCTGCGCCTGTGCACGGGCCGGATTGTTCTCCCATGTTCCACAGCTGGAACCGCATGGCAAGCCTGAAGAAAAGTACACCCTAAATCGTAAAAGCCTTAAGACCTTGAAACCCAAAACCCTCAAGCCCTCAAGCCCTCAAGCTCAACCCCATCAATCCCATCAACCCCATCAACCCCATCAACCCCTCCACCCTTCCACCCTCAACCCCTCAACCAACCCTAAACCCTAACCCTCAACCCCTAACCCCTAACCCTAAACCCGAAACCCTAAACCCTAAACCCATCCACCTGACAAAAGATGCGTCTCTCTGTTGATTGCTGGGGCACCGCTTCGGAGCGCAGCTCCTGCAGCTCCTTCGCCAGGCTCTGGGCCTGGGTTTAGGGTTTAGGGTTTAGGGTTAGGGTTTGGGGTTTAGGGTTTAGGGTTTGGGGTTTAGGGTTTAGGGTTTAGGGTTTAGGGTTTAGGGTTTAGGGTTTAGGGTTTAGGGTTTAGGGTTTAGCGGGGTTTAGGGTGTAGGGTTTAGCGGGGTTTCGGGTTGGGTTTGGTGTCGGGCTTTGGGGTATAGGGTTTTGGGGGCTTATGGTTTAGGCTTATTTCGGCCTCAGGAACTTAGGGGCGTTCCAGCTCAAACCATCAGGATCAGCTGTTGAAATCTCATGGATGCGAACGTTGTCTAGGATGGCCCTTGAAACCCTCTAAAGAAGATTCCTGAATGTGATCCTCCTAGACCTGCAAAGGGAAACACCAAAATGTTTCAAGGGCCTACCTAGTTGTCTGGGTGAAAGCAAAGAAGATCTGCACGGAGGAAGCGGCAATTCTCGCTTCCCTGTCGTTGATGGGACCTGTCACCCTAACCTGAAACAGTATTTCGGGCTTAGGGTTTAGGGCTTAGGGTTTAGGGCTTAGGGTTTAGGGTTTAGGGTTTAGGGTTCGAAACTCCTACATTTCTAAGCCGTAAACCCCAAAGCCTGACTCCCCCCGACCCCCGCAGCAGCCTGGTCTGCCTGGATGGCGGGCGGGGGAGCCTCACAGGGACAGCATGGTGTAAAGGTGTGAAAAAGAGTGGAAAGAAGGGGTTTAGGGTTTAGGGTTTCGGGTTTAAGGTTTAGGGCTTCGGGTTTAGGGCTTAGGGTTTAGGGTTTTAAGTTTGGGGCTTTTGGGGCTTTTGGGGCTTTTGGGGCTTTTGGGCTTTTGGGGCTTTTGGGGCTTTTGGGGCTTTTGGGGCTTTTGGGGCTTTTGGGGCTTTTGGGGCTTTTGGGGCTTTTGGGGGTTGTTGGTTCGCGGGTTGTGGGGTTCTGGTTGTGGGGCTTGGATTCGGGGGTCGATTTGGGGTGATTCAGGGTCTGGGGTTTGAAGGTTTAGGATTTAGGGTTTTGGGGTGAAGATGGCTTGGATGGGTTTAGGGTTTGAGGGTTTCAGGGGTTAGGGGTTTTCGGGCTGAGGGTTTAGGGGGGTTAAGGGTTAAGGGTTTAGGGTTATGTTGGGAGGTGCACCTACTCAGAAATCTCGGGTTTAAAGTTCCTAAACCTTGAACCCGAAGCCCTAAACCCTGAACCCAAACTAAAATCTAAGCCCTAAACCCTGAACCCTAAGCTTAATACCCTAAACCCTAAAATTATAAAACCCTAAGCCCCAAACCCTAAACCCTAAGCCCTAAACCCTAAGCCCTAAACCCTAAACCCTAAACCCTAAACCCTAAACCCTCTCTCTTACCTGAGGACGTGGATCCTGGGCCTGTAGGGCTTCCTTTCCTAAGGGCTACATTCGCAGGTTTAGGGTTTAGGGTTTAGGGTTTAGGGTTTAGGGTTTAGGGTTTAGGGTTTAGGGTTTAGGGTTTAGGGTTTAGGGCTTAAGGTTTAGGGTTTAGGGTTTGGGGTTTAGGATTCCCCGAAAATCCCTGAACCTGAACCCGTTATTCAATGAGAGACACGGAGGGTTTGTAGGCTCAGTATATGAGAGTAATCTCATGTTGTACAATACATGTTAATATGATGTCAGTTCAAAAAATACTAATATTCATCGCTATTATTGTTATATGTACATATATATATATATGTATATGTATATATATATATATACACATATAGATAAGTAGTGAGTGACTAAGGACTGAACCCGTCTGAGGCCCCCATATATATATATATATATAAAGACATATATATATATATATATGTACAGCTTTAAAGAGAGGGTTCTCCTGAAGATGAAGATTTGGGATCTGAGGTTGGATCCGGCCTTGAGGGGATCTCCGGTTGGGTTGAGGTTAGGGATGGGTCGAAGGCTTAGGGATATAGGGAGTTTCCGAAATTACCTTATTGGGGCCCTTACTAGAAGGGAATCCACCTATCTGGGGGCCCCTTAATATCGGGGGCCCCTTGTTTCGTTAACCCCCATGTAGGGCCCCTGGGGCCCCTAAGCACTGAACTCGGTTGAGGTGTCGTGCCTCCTCCTTGGCGGCAGAGTCTTCAAGAAATCGCGCCTCCTCTCGCGCTGCCTCCGATTTTTTCAGGAAGCCGAATACCCGTTCAGCATTTGACGGCCCTACATTGCTTTAAGGTAGGTGCCCGGAATTAAGCCCTGAACCCTAAGCACTCTGATAAGGTATCTTCCCGAACTACATGGCATGGGTCTCCCTGAGTAGACCTCTGAAAACTCCTGTGAGTTTAGGGCTTGGGGTTTCAGACTCTCGGGTTTCAAGGTTTACTAGGATGGCCCTTCAAACCCTCTCAAAAATATTCACGAGATATGGTCCACTTAAACCCAACAAGGGAAAATAATTAAATCTCCCAAAGGCCTACCTAGTGTCTGGTAACCCAAGACCCCAAAGCGTTCCTAGATGGCCGAAGCGTTGTGCCAGCACGCTGCGTCGTCGTTTCAGCTAACAGGGTTTAGGGTTTGGGGTTTAGGGTTCAAGGTTTAGGGCAAGGCCGCCTCATACTTTGTTACTCAGGAACACGAGTAGCATCAGCGGCAGTAGTAGGAATTACACTTTCAGTAACTTCGTTTGTAATAGCACCAACCTTTGGGGGGCTTTACGATACTAGGGGGTACCCTCTTTGGGGTCCTCATTAGAAGGGAAATCCTACTTCTCGGGGGTCTATAGTAGGGGTCCCCTAAACCCTAAACCCTAAAACCTAAAACCTAAACCCTAAACCCAAACCCTAATTTTCGTAACGCCCCCCCCCCCCCCCACCTCTTCTACTCTTGCTTAGGACTCTCGTGCTTTGTGCTGCGACACTCAGCCCAGGCCCTCAAGCATCCGGAGCCCATGTTACCCCAAAACCCAAAACCCAAAACCCAAAACCCAAAAGCCAAAACCCAAAACCCTAAACCCTAAACCCTAACCTTGGAGGATTGGGGCACGAAGTCCCAACTCCACAACACTCGAATTCCTGAGCCCCCAAGCCAGGGTTTTCAGGGGGGTCAGGTTTCGGGTTTCCGGTTTCTCCCAAGGGAAAGACCCCCTAAACCCTAAACCCTAAACCCCTTGCTAAATGGGCCTCTTCCTGAAGAACTCGTCGCTCCTCCGGGCCATGCTCGTCTGGGGGAGCTCTGGGGAGGTCCGGGACCTTTTGGGCATGGGGTTTAGAGCTCAGGGTTAGAGGGGTTTAGGGTTTGGAGTTTAGGGTTTAGAGTTTAGGGTTTAGGGTTTAGGGTTTAGAGCATCAACGGCCTGGGAACCCTAAACCTTAAACCTTAAACCCTAAGTGCAGCTCAAGAGCGCTTGAGAGAGCTCAGGCCTCCACCTCCTCTGCATTCATGACATTTGGGCCGCCATGAAGTCCCAAAGTTTAGGGCTGACTCAGGGTTTAGGGTTTAGGGTTTTGGGTCTTTCAGTCCTAGTGCAACCAAAGTAGGAAAGCAAAACGCCCAACCCCAACTCCCCATCTATCAATTCATTACCCTCTAAACCCTAAAGCCTGCTCCCTAAACCCTAAACCCTTGATCCCGATGTCCTGATCCTTAAACCAAGGGTTTAGGGTTTAGGGTTTAGGGTTTAGGGTTTAGGGTTTAACCCTAAACCCTAAACCCTGATCCCGCAAACCATAGACCCTAAACCGAAACCCTAAAACCCTCAGCCCTTCTCCGGCCTGCTTCTCAACTTTGGCAGTCAGCTCGTCGGACTCCCTCTTCCAGGCAGTGACCTTGCAAATCTGCGCGCCCTAAACCCTAAACCCTAAACCCTAAACCCTAAACCCTAAACCCTAAACCCTAAACCCTGAACCCTAAATCCTAAACCCTAATCCCAAAACCCTAAACTTTCTCTCTCCCTTTTACGTGACCCAATAACCTAGGAGTAAAATGGGGGGCCCCCCCCCCGCCCCCAAACACACGAAAAAAAGAAAATACGGGTGCAACTGGGCATCCTAGAAACTCTCTCTCTCTCTCTCTCTCTCCTGCAAGTGCAAAAATGTATAGGACGATGTAAAGGATGAATGGATTGAAAAATGTTGCAGCGTACATCCTACATCATCCAAGAGTAGCTGCGCTGATACCTAGTCATGAGACTGCGTCACGACAGAGCATTACCAAGAGAGTCGGCTGCAGAACCATGTTCAGAACTGTCTTTGCCCTCCAGAAATCCCATCAAACCCTAAACACTAAACCCCAAAACCCCAAACCCTAAACCCCAAACCCTAAACCCTAAACCCCAATCCCAAGGCCATCCCAAAGGGGGCTTAGGACTTGGGGTATACCCACACGTACACTAAGAAGCTTTATGCTTATCTACAGGGGGGCTTCGGATTCGCTCAGACCTAGCCCAAAACTCGTCGACACCGCAATGAAAACCCTAAACCCTAAAGCCCCCAAGAAGCCCTTGCCTCGGCTCGCGCGAAGGCCACCTCGGTAGAGCCAAATGACCTGACCATTGGCTTTGGGAGTTTAGGGTTGAGGGTTTTGGGTTGTAGGGTCCGCAATGCCACAATGCCACAGATGCGGTTGGGACACAGGGCCGCCCGCTGCTCAGCCACCTCTAAGACCAGTTCCTGGTGGGGCTCCGCAGTTCACAGGGTTCAGGTTTGGGGTTTGGGGTTTGAAGTTTAGGGTTTAGGGTTTAGGGTTTAGGGTCTAGGGTCCAGGGCCGAGTCTAGGGTCCAGGGTAGAGGGCTCAGGGTGTTGGGTTTAGACTCCAGCAAACAGAGGAAAACAGCTAAGAGTCAGAGCGCGATGTCTGCGAAGTCCGGAACGCCCCACCAACAAAATGCTCAACTATCGGCAGGTAAGTACAGTTTGGGATGCTCCCCCATATAATATACTAACAGTCCTTAGTAGGGACCATAGTACCCCCTATACTATAGTCCCGATTAAGGAGTGTTAGTATAAAGGGAACATCCCACAGTACCGGTACAGCATGGAAGTTAGGCAAGGGTTGTAGGGTTGCGGAAGGCTTGCACGGCGCGAAGTCTTCTCCTTCTTTATGTTGCGCTCTGTGTGATGTGGCGGGCTGACGGTTGTTCGAACATGAAGGGTTACCTGAAGGCTCCAATGTAGTTCCTTTTTGGGTTAGGTATAGGGGATCCCAGTATACTACCCCAAAAAGGTACTACGTAGAGCCAATGGGGGGTGAGCTAGAGGGCAGGCAGGGCAAACGCCTTCAGAGCAGTTTGCGTTTATGATTCCCTTCAGCCCCGTTGGTGCTTCAGCCCATGCTGCCAGGCATCGTGATTCTGCATCTGTAGCGCCTCTACACGGAGCTGGTCGTCATCCATGACTTTGCGAAGGGTCTTCACCTGTCGTTTGGTTCTTGGCTTGCAGCCAATGGGCCAAGGTCCGTTCCGGCACTGAAGGCAAGGGTTCTCTTGGGGCAGATGACGCAGGAGCGGTGCTCATAGTTTTTGGTGGGCCTCTGCAGTTCGGGGGCGGGAGATGAGGAGGCGGAGGAGACGTCACAGTTGTACATTATTCTTATATTTCGCTGCCATGCCGCCGCGACGGAGACGAAGAGCTGAGATGAGCAAAGCACTTCAGCAACCCCAAATCCCCTCAAAGCCCAGGCCTGGTCTAAAGCAGGCCCCAGCTCGCACCTGAGGGATGGGGCTCAGGGTTGAGTGTTTGGGGTTTAGGGGTTTGGGGTTTGGGGTTTGGGGTTTAGGGTTTAGGGTTTAGGGTTTAGGGTTTAGGGTGAAGGGTTTAGGGTTTAGAGTTTAAGGGTTTACGGGTTTAAGGGTTTAGGGTCTAGTTTTGATTGTGGCGATGGCCAAGCGACGAGTCAACTCTCAAGGTCCCGGGCCCCGAATAAACACCCGGCCCGGAACCATAATGCTTAAGGGTTTGGGGTCTAGGTTTTAGGGTTTAGGGCTCAGGGGGCTGAAGATTTAGGGGAACTCCCACAGCCTGCGCCAGGAGTCCTGAAGCCAGGCGGCCACACTCTCCTGTTCCGGACTTTGAGCGCAAGTCTACTACTAGTACCACTACCACTGCCACTACAACTACAGCTACAGCTACAGCTACAGCTACAGCTACAGCTACAACTGCCACTGCAACTAAAACTACAACTACACCTACAGCTACATACAACTACAACTACAACTACCAGTACCTACCTGCCTGCCTGCCTGCCTGCCTCCAACACGAACACACACATGACTAACACACGCGACTTAAAACCCTGCAACCCCCAATTTTGATGCACCTACTCTCTTGTCCCTAAGCCCCCTACAGGCCCATGGGTTCGCGCTTTGGGCTGGGGCAAGTCCTGCTGCTGGCGATCGCATGCCAGTCTCGTACAGTGTTCCTCACACTCCAGAAGCTGCGCCTCAGGGTGTGACCAAGTTGCTTGTCGGGGCTTTTTTTGTGGCGGGAGCCGTTGGTGACAAGAAAGAAGGACCCCTTGCTGAAAACATCACCCCCCCCCCCCTGCATTTTTTGCGCCGAAGGTGTAGTGGACTTTTGCAGCTCCCTGACGCAACTTTTGAGCGTGCAAAGGGCATGCAGACGAACTTTGGGCCTAGGGTTGGGAGTGGAGGGGCAAGAAATGCCTCCCAAATGCGTTAAACCAAAAGGTTTCCAAACAAGCCCGAAATACTTGCGAGCTCCCTGCACCACGACACCCCGTAAACCCTGAAGCCTAAACCCGAAAACCCGCAACCCTGGCCTTAAACAACCGTTCATGTCGCCACGATCATGCTACTCTTTCGCCAGCCCCTTTTGCGCCTAATCCCTCGACCCACAGCCAAAACTATCAAAACCTAAACCTAGCCCACGAGCCACTTGGCTTCTGTTGTGAGGTCGATTTGGGGTTCTGCGGGTTTAGACCGCCCCCGACAACTAATCATCCAAAGATGGGCGCCAAGTCGAAACGCCTGAGCCCCTCTTACTTAGTACTTCCCACCCTCCCAAGGAAAGCCCAGAAATACCTGAAACCCTGAGCCCCTCATTAGAGATACCTATTTTTCTTTCGATATTCTACCAGACACGAAACGAGGTATCCAAAATAGGAAATACGTCAGTGACTGTAGCCGAAAAAACTCAAAAAGGGCATATCTCCACACCCTGAATCCTAAACCCTAAGCCCTAAACCCCTAAGCCCCTAAACACCCAAACCCTAAACCGGAAACCCTAAACCCTAAACCCTAAACCCTAAACCCCAGGGCCTTCAAGGCCACGCGCAGGTTTCGCTGTTCCAGGTCCGCTTCCTCCGCGAGCACCAGGGGTTTAGGGTTTAGGTTTAGGATTTAGGGTTACTGTCTAGTGTGCTCACGGTTGCAGGGGTTCGTGGAGTTGTTTCTATTTAAGGCTTCGGGTGTGGAGATATAGGGGCACAGACTAACGTCTAGACTTGTCGATGCGTGGATCCTCATTCTTTGAGGAGTCCAGTCTTAGCTGGACTGAAAGGCCTTGTGATTGTTCACGGTTGAGGGCTTGAGGCTTAGTGCCGGGCATCGGCATTGCCTGTGCATCAGCCAGACTGTTCCTTAACCCTAAACCCTCAACCCTAAACCTTCAACCTTCAACCCTAAACCCTAAACCCTAAACCCTACCTGGAACCCCGACAACCCAATTATTTTTGGTCGTTGGGTTTTTTACGGGTTTTTACGGGCGTTTAGGGGGAATTACGGGCGTTTAGGAAATTTATGGGCGTTCTGCTTTGGGCTCTTGAAATTACGGATAATTATGGGCGTTTAGTGGTTTGTGAGGATTGGTGCAGAATTATGGGCGTTTAGGGGTTTTACGGGCGTTTAGGGGTTTCCGGGTTCATCCAAACAAACAGGGCTGAATATGCCAAAAACAACAAGCCCTGAGCCCCTCAAAACCTTATCATCCCAAAGCCCTATATAAGCCCTTCACCCGAAGCCTGCAGGGATTTTGCTAACCCAAGCTTCCTAAAAGACCCCTGGGACCCCACCCTGCTCAAAACCTCAAGCATTTTGGGACCCCATTTTGGCCATTGAGGTCTTTTTGGGATTTGCTTTGAAAGGGTTTTTTGGAATTTCCTGGGCCGGCCTGGCCATAAAGCCTGCAGGTTTTGTAGGGTTTTATAGGGTGTTAGGGTTCTTGCAAGGGGTTTAGGCTTCTAGGGTTTTAAGGCCTTTTTGGGTTTAGGGCTTGATGGGCTTAGGGTTTGAGGGCTTTAGAGTTTAGGGGTCCTCTGGATTGTAGGTCAAGCTTCAGTTTCAGGGGTTTGGGGATTTCAGGCGGCTTTCCGTAGATTTCAGGGGTTTGCCGTAGATTTCGGGTTTTTCGTAGGGAGTTCACAGCTTTCCGTGTGGAATTATGGGTTCTATGTTTCGAGGGGTGGGCTGCATGAGTTGTTGGATCTGAAGGTTTTTTCAAGGCATCACAGAGCCTAAAGCCTTTCCGTGTCCTTTCCGCGCCAGTCCCAATTATGGATTTTTTCCGTTTTTTAGCGGTTTTTTATAGGCGTTTTTATGCGTGGATTCTTTCCGTAGGGGCCACGGAAACAGGGGGCTTTCCGTAGACTTCAGGGGGTTTTCCGTAGATTTCGTGTTTACCGTAGGGAGTTCACAGCTTTCCGTGGAATTATGGGTTCTATGTTTCGAAGGGTGGGCTGAGCTGTTGGATCTGAGAGTTTTTCAAGGCATCACAGAGCCTAAGGCCTTTCCGTGATCTTTCCGCGCCAGTCCCAATTATGGATTTTTACGGTTTTTTACGGTTTTTTACGGCTTTTTTACGGTTTTTTATGGGCGTTTTTGCGTGGATTCTTTCCGTAAGGGCCCACGGAAACCCCACGGAAAGCCTAAATCAACAAGTTTACGGGCGAATTACGGGTTTTTACGGGCGTTTAATAAAGATTACGGGCGTCTGGGCTGCTATTGCCGATCCTAGCGATCCTAGCAGCTGGAAAAAACAGTCCAACTTCGCAACTGTCGTGGCAAGGGAACGAAAAGTGATGTTAACAAATCCGGTCCAATTCAACCCACACCTATACCCCAAACCCCTCGGAAGTCCTGGCTGGAGCTTATATGGTGAATAGGGCTTATATGGGTTTGTCTACAGGGTCTCCTCATATACGGTCGTGTGGCAGAACCGTTATACCCCAACCCCACCCCAACCTATAAACCCTGCAAGTCCTGAGGCTTAGGGTCTGGGGTTTGTTTCGTCTTCTCATAGTAAGTGTCGCTTGTGCTTGGGGGTCGGCAGGGTTGGTGTTAAAGACTCAGAATAACCTATATTGTTGTGCTATACAGGGCTTCGAGAAAGGTTGGCTGAGGCTTAGGGTCTCTGGGGTCCGGGGTTATCAAGTCTCCTGATAAGTGTCGCTTGGGCAGGTCCATATATCGTTGGTCTATACAGGGCTTCGGGAAAGGTTTGAGAATGATTGTGGGTCGGATTTTACGGTTGGGTTCGCCGGAGCATTCCTGTGTTCCCTCTCTAAACCCCTAAACCCTTCAACCTTGCAGGAGCTGGAAGGGGACAGGGTTCAGGCTTCACTATAAGCTTGGTGCTTGGTGGGTTGTATTGGTACATTTTATTATGCCGAATGCTCATTTCCCCGATTTTGCAAGTACGGGCGTTTCCGGTAAAATCCTAATTCTCCCCGATCTCGGAATTACGGGCGTTTCCCGTAAAATCCTAATCCTCCCCGGTCTCGGAATTACGGGCGTTTCCCGTAAAATCCTAATCCTCCCCGATCTCGGAATTACGGGCGTTTCCCGAATTACGGGCGTTTGCTTTTTTTACGGGCGTTTCCTAAAAAACCCGGTTTTTTCCAAACAACCAAAAGTAATAGGGTCTTTTGGAGACCCAGGTAGACCCTAGACCCTAAACCCTAGACCCTAAACCCGAAAACCCTAAACCGGGCAGTCAAGAGCATCAGGCACCGGCCCGGTGATCGACAGGCTGAAGCTCATCCACCAAGGGATTAAGACTCGTGCCGACTCGTACCCTAAACCCTAAACCCTAAACCCTAAACCCTAAATCCTAAACCCTAAACCCTAAACCCTAAACCCTAAACCTAAGGTAAGGTTCCCCTGAACATGCTCCTCACATGGCCCTTATACTACCTTAAGGATCTTTAAAAAAGGGGGTCCTCAAACCCAAGGGCGCAACCTTAAGGTCCAAGGCACAATCTTTAGAATCCACTGGGTACGGGGAACGGGGGACCCCTCCCACCCCCCTCCTCCCCCCCCCAACCCCTGCCCAAACAACAAGAATCCCCAAGCCCCAAACCGCCAAACCAGCTATTGGAGTTGAGGGGTTGAGGGTTTGGGGCCCAGGGTTTAGGGCCTAGGGCCCAGGGTTAGGGATTTACTTCTGACAAGGTGCTTCGCTGACCAGACGAAGCTCATTCCTTCGGCACTCGGGTAGACGATCGTAAGGGAAGGCTTGGTCCACTAGAATGTGGTTAACCTTGTGACTTCAGATGGTAGTTCCATTTTGGGGGTACCTCATTGGCTTCGGGTGACCCAAAGCCCTAAGCCCTCACCCCTAAACCCTAAGCCCTGAACCCTGCACCCTGACCCCTAAACCCTAAACCCTAAACCCTAAACCCTAAACCCTAAACCCTAAACCCTAAACCCTAAACTGAACATCAAACAGCTAGGTACTCGCTCCCGAAAAGAGAGAGAGCTGCAACTTTGTGTGCGCAGTCTGGGCTCCTGAGCCCATGAAAGCCCCCCGAAGCGCGCCCTACCGAGCCCCCCTTGTCAGAGTTTAGGGTTTAGGGTTTAGGGTTTAGGGTTTAGGGTTTAGGGTTCATGGCTCTTTAGGATCGAGCCCTCTCCAAAAACCATGACCAGAAACCTTCAACCCCTAAGGCCCAAGACGCGACCCCCAAAACTCCTGACGCCCCTTCCAGGATGGGCTATTGGACCTTATAACCCTTTAAAAAGGGCCTTCATGGTTTAGGGTTTAGGGTGTAGGGGTTTTAGGGATTAGGGTTTTTAGGGTTTTTAGGGTTTAGGGGGTTATAGGGCCTAACAGCCCATGATGGTTGGGGTTTGGGTTTTCGGGCCGAAAATGCCCGAAACCTCTTTCCGGCGCCTGCAGGCCATCAGCTCCTCTGCCACCCCGCGCGTCTCCGCAGCGGACTCCGCCAACTCCTGACTTATTTCTGGGGCTGCTTAGGATTTAAGGGTTTCTGAATGGGTTGAGGGTTTAAGGGTTTCTAGGGCGATTCAGGGTTTATGGTTTGAGGGTTTAAGGGCTTGGGGGTGCTTCTTCCTGGGATGATTTTGGGTTTATATAAGGGTTATACAGGGACGATGGTCCTTTGAAGCCTTCAGCAAAAAAAAAGTGGCGGGGATACAGGGCTTTGGGGCCTTTAGGGTTTAGGGTGCAGGGTACTGTAGGGGCCTGAATAATGAGAATAGGGTTTTTAGTATAACTACGCCCGTATAATCACTAAGGGACCATAAGGGAATATTATTAGTAATTATTCCGACCCCTGAATTAGGGGGTTTTAGGAGGCTTAGGGGGTACCAGCAAAGTGACCATCAGATTCAGAGTCGAGGGCTTGTGTTCGTGGACTCTGCTTGCGTCTGTTTTAGGCATCCTAGAAGCAGCCTAAACCCTAAACCCTAAACCCTAAACCCTGAAAGGCATCTATCAGGAGGGTCCCGAAGCCCAAAACCCCAAGTTCTCCTCATCCAAGCTGGCGGTGCGCTTCTGCTCCATGCTGTATTCCTGGGCTTCCGACAATGGGGGTGCCGGCTTAGGGTTTAGGGTTTAGGGTTTAGGGTTGAGGGTTTAGGGTTTGGGGGGCTTCTATTTACGGAGATCCAATTATTTTAGGGGTATAAAAGCGGGTACCACCCCCCCCCCCCTCCCATTTTGGGAAATACTGTTCCTGGGTGGTGAATTGAGACAGCTCCTGGTTAAGCCCTTTAAAGGGACGCGCTATTTTGAATCTTAGAGCCCCTCAAAAGGGAATCCTTCCTAACAAGGGTAACAAGGGAACCTGCCCTATAGCCTCTAGCTATGTTGGGGATGAGAATCAACAACTACTATGTCGTGCTTTGGCCTGAATGCCTAGCACGTCGGGGTGGGGCAGGAAGATCGGAAGATCCTACGAAAGAACAAGTCAGGCCTGAAAACTTAAATCCTAAACCTTAAAATTCATCAAGCCATGCTTTCCAGCTCACAGCTCATGAATCTCGTCCCAGACTTTCGAAATGTCGCCGCCCTCGCTGGGATGCCCCCAGGCCATCACATCTCCCTCCCCCAAGGCCGTGAAGGCTCCATCCGTCGCGAAGATCTGTGCCACCTTCCTTGGGGACCAAATGAACCCTAAAAATTGGGTCATAGACCCTATACTAATAATTCCTATGAGGGTATATGAACCATCAACCCTTTTAGGGTTCATTTTGTCCACAAGGTTCGGGGGCGGCTCCCTTCCCGCCCGGCTGATGTCGCCACCGAAGATGCGTGGGCCCCAGGTGACGAGCGGCCCATCTTCCGTGACAGCGGCGAAGGCGAACTTCGTGGCGCAGACCTGCTGGACGTTCTGCAGCTGATGGCGGACCCCACTGCAGTCGCCCCCCGCGTGGGAGTTGCCCCAGGCTTCCACAGTGCCATCGGCCAACAAGGCGGCAAAGGCTGCGCCGGTCGTGGCCATCTGTTGGACGTTGAGAAGCTCTCCGCACACTTTGCTGCGCACCCTGCCGCCATACTCCTCCGGGCCCCAGGTTACCAGGCGTCCACCTTCCAGGATTGCGGCAAAGGCACGTTCTGTCGCGTAGAGCTCTTGAACCTGCCTCAGCTGATCTCGGACGCCGCTGGTGCTGTTGACACCTCCTCTGTATTCGCCCCACGTCACCACCGCGCCACCTTCCAAGAGAGCGGCAAAGGCTGCTTCGGACCCACAAATCCGCTGCACGTTGGCCAACGGTTCCGCCACCTCCGAACCTGGGTTCCCAGCAACCTAAGCAATAACCTGACCAACAAAACCGCAATGTTGCTTCTCATGGCAACCCCGGCAAAAAAGGAAATTCGGGTAAGCACGATGGCATCCTAGAAACCGTCACCCCCGAAGTGAGGATCGCCCCAGGTCACCACGCTGCCACCCGGCAGGATCGCAGCGAAGGCGCGCTTCGTGCTGGCAATCTGCTGGACATTCCTCAACCTTGAAAGCCAAATGATCCATAAAATTGGGGTCATATACCCTATGTACTACTAGAGAACCAAATGATCCATAAAATTGGGGTCATATACCCTATACTACTACAGACTTCCTATTAGGGTATATGAACCATAAGCCCTTCATGGGTTCCTTTTGCCATCAGGGAGCTGATCTCTGACGTTGGTGCTGTCGCCTCCCGCATCTGGTGCCCCCCAGGTCACCACACCTCCATCTGCCAAGGGACTGCAGGAGGGGGACCCTTATAAGGGACCTTAGGGCTTCTTTAGGGGTTATTTGGGTTTAGGGTTTAGGGTTTAGGGTTTAGGTATTTGGGGGCTACTTCGGTATATAGGGAATATATATCAGGTTATATATAATTAGGGGTTTTATAGGGGAAGACCTCCATCTGCCAAGATGGCTGCAAATGCACTGCCCGTGGCACAGATCTGCCGAACGTTCTGCAGTTTCTCCCTGACCTGTCCCAGCGGGTCCATCTGTACTACAGCTATTGTGGAATTCGGTACCCAAAACCCTATTTAGTATGGTTTTTGGCGCCTAGTTCTATAATGGTACTACAGATGGACCATCTGGGTGTGTTGCTGTTAAGGGACTTGACTCTATATATACCTTAAACAAATGGCATGGCCTTCTGCCCATTCAAATTCCGTATTTTTTTGATGAACTCAGCAAGCCAGTGACTCTGCTGCTATCCCCGCCATGCTCTGGGGAGCCCCAGGTGACGACACGCCCATCCTCCACGATCGCGGCAAAAGCACGCTCTGTGCCCTGCACTTCTTGAATGCTCCTCTTGGTAGCCCAGCAACATTCATAATAAGGGCACCCTTCTTTGGGGTTGGTTCCTCCATAATGTAAGGGAACCTAGAACCAAAAGAAAAAAAAAAAAAAAGGGCAAAAGGATACCCCTGGGCTACCCAGTCCTCAGATGGCCCTTCACCTCACCGCTGTCACCACCCGCATCAGCAGCTCCCCAGGTCACCATCTTGCCTTGGGGACCAAATGAGCCCCTAAAATTCGGGTCATGTACCCTAGACTACTATAACTCCTACTAGGGTAATATGAACCATAAAAACCCTTTTAGGGTTCATTTCGCCCACAAGGTGCTTTCTCCCAAACACCACAGGGCGAAAGCCTTCGACGTGGCGGCTACCTTCGGCTGCCGCGCAATCGCCATCAGGTGATCCCCATCTCGTAGCCCCGCCGCTTCCAGCGAGTCCGTTGGGTCTAAGAGATGTCCATCCGGCCCCACCGGCCGCAGGAACAGCTGCTTCAAGGCCCCTTGCGCCGCGCGTTTCAGGTCGCGCACCGTGCCCTCCCGCGGCAAGGAAAGTGTCTCGCAGCGGCCGCTGGGCAACGACACGTGGAGCGTCAAGTGGCCATGCGCGTCTGAGATGCCCGAGGGATCCATGGCGTTTGGGACGGGGACCCCAAGACTGGCAGGGTTTAGGGTTTAGGGTTTTAGGGTTAAAGGTTTAGGGTTACAGGGTTAGGGTTTAGGATTTAATTGGGGCTTGGGCCATGAGCTGAAGTGTGTGGGATCGCATGCGCGGCGAAAACGTGTCGGTTGTTGGCGCACAGCTTCTTCTTCCACTGTTTCCGGCTGGTATTGTGGGGGCGCCAGAATCTGCTCATTCTGAAGACCCTAGAGACGCTACCACCCTAAACCCTCATGAATAGCTCAATGGGGAGGATGCCCATGGTTCCCTGGCAGCCCTGATGTCTATTGAAATTGGCAGTTCCAAGTGGCGTCTCTGCCCCTGGGTGTGGGCGTTGAAGGGGTTTAGGCGTGTAGGGGGGGTTATAGCGGGTTAACGGGGGTTGTCGGGTTTTAGGGGCTAGAGGTTATAGGGCTGTAGGGGATTTAGATTTATGGTTTGGGAATTTAGGGTTTAGTAGGGCGCGTGACCCATGAATGCCACTATACTTGCAGTGCAGCCCATCCAAAAGACGGAAACGATGAAGCCCCTAAACCCTAAACCCTAAACCCTAAACCCTAAACCCTAAACCCTAAACCCTAAACCCCAAACCCTAAACCCTGAACCCTGAACCCTAAAAACCCTGAACCCTAAAAACCCTGAACGGCCCTGAGCCCTAAGACTATAGGTCGCCATCTCGGGGGCAGCCACCGTGGGACCCTGGGCCCCAAAACCCCTCAAACTCCAAAGGCCACAAGGGAGCGAAGCCACGCCCCAAACCTTCATCAACCCCCCCCCCCCTCCCCTCAAAAAAACTCGTAAACAATCCTCTCCGGACAGCCTCGAAAACGCCTAAAGAAGAAGAACTACACCTGAAACCCTAAACCCCTAAACCCCTCAAATCCCCAAAGCCGTAAAGAAGATGATGATGTCCAAGTCACCAAGGCGGCCTGTGAGGCCTTCAGGCGCGCTGCTCGGAGGAGGGAGGAGCGGAGGGGACGAGAATGAGGGCTTGGGGTTTAGGGTTGAAGTAAGTTTTTTTATTTGTCCGGGTTTAGGGTTTAGGGTTCAGGGTTTAGGACGTACAGTTCAAGGTTTGGGCACTCTTCTCTGCAACCCAAGGCCAAAAAGGTAGGCTTTTCTGCAGCTAGGGTTGGGGGCTGAGGGTTTCAGGTTCGAAGACTTAGGGCGGCTTGAGGCTTTTGGGATGAAGATGTCAGTTTAGGGATTCAGGTTGAAGCGGAGCATCGACGTCTGGATCTTCCTTTTAAGGTAGCACAATTCCTTGACAGGTAAGTTCCGTCCAGCATGAGCGGTGTAATGACTTCCTCACTGTCACTACCCTCGTCTCTCAGAAATTGAGTCATCCTTGATTACGAGGAAGCCAACGGCCTAACAATAAGACCCTGAGCACTTGGCCGTTCATGTTTCGTTCACCCATAAGCCCCTATTAATAGCATTCATGCGTCCGTAAACTCCCTTATAATACTATTAATAGTGTTTGTGGTGTTGTCTTCACGTGTACGCGCTTATAATATAGTTGTAATGAAAGCACGAACTATATTATAATAAGCGCGAACTAAGTGAACGAAGAACGGGGCCTTTAATTATACTATTATCGCGCACTTATAATGTAAAATTTATGTGTGTCGCGATACTACTATATTTAAAAGGGCTTTTCTTCGCGAGAGAACACTATGAACACGGCCCCAATATTCATATCTGCTTATATTTATATGTACAAGCAATAAACTTATCTTTTGTTGGCTTGTCTTTTCTGTTTTTCTGTTTGGGGGGGATAGTTTGTTTTTCGGCTTTAGGGCGTTGGCTTTCGGGGGTTTTACGTGTAGGCATCCAGGGCTTGGGTTTGACTAGGGCTTCTGTTTTTGGTGTCAGAGTTTATGGCCTCCAGGCCAAATATACAGGGCGCACAGGGTCTCGTGTTCCTGAACACCCCTGAACACCCTTCATGCCCTGAACCCCAAACCTAGTCATTAAACCCTAAAACCCTAAAACCCTAAATCCCTAAAACCCTAAATCCCTAAAACCCTAAAACCCTAAAACCCTAAAACCCTAAACCCCTAAACCCCTAAAACCCTAAACCCTAAACCTTGAAACCCTCAAAAAGCAGGTGGGCGGCCTGTATCCGGGTCTGCTCCATGAGCCCCTGCGTCTGAGTTCCTGGGTCGGCGGGGGAGGTTGCCGGAGGGTAGGGCTTACAATTTGGGGCTTAGGGCTTAGGGCTTAGGGTTTAGGGTTTAGGGCTCAGGGTTTAAGTTTAGGGCTCAGGGTTTGGGGTTTGGGGATGAGAATTTAGGCTCTTGCCTAGGGTTTTCTGACCGGTAGAGTTAATTCGAGTCAGGTTTGGGCTTCAGGGTTGGGATGTTCCCCATTCTACTAACAGTCCTTTACAGGGATTATAGGAGGGAACTATCATCCCTAGTAGGGACTGTTAGTATAAGGGGGGAACATCCCAACTTCAGGGCTCAGCTGCCGCGGGATGGAGCATGGGGCAATCTCGAACCCAAAAAAAATGCAAAGCCCGAAGCCCTAAGTCCTAAAACCCCAAAGCCCACAAACACCCAAAAGACCCTGACACCCTCCCAAAAGAAACCATGTAAATGCAGGGTTCCTATGGGTGATTTTGGGAAGAGACATGTTGATCAAACTACCGTATATTTGCCCAAAAACACCAATTCCAACTCACGGGGCCCCTCCTACGCCCCAAACCCTAAACCCTAAACCCTAAACCCTAAACCCTCAACACTAAACCCTAAACCCTAAACCCTAAACCCTACCTGTCAATCCTAGCGGACAGAAATTTCTGTCCTTATGGTTTTTTCTGGTTTTTTGCGTGCAAAAGCGAGTTGTTGGTGTTCTATTGGGATCGGGGAATACAATCAAAGCGGCTGGATTTTCGGAGTTCAGGGCTTAGACTGTGTGTAAGAACCCACATTGATGCTATTCTGTGCCTACTGTGATAGCCTCAACAACCAGTAAAGAAAACCCAGCACCCACAGCATTCCTTCAGTACCGCCCGAAAGGAAACCCTATATCACTCCCATCAAACCCTAAACCCTAAACCCTAAACCCTAAACCCTAAACCCTAAACCCTAAACCCTAAACCTCACTCCCATCAAACCCCTCCTTTTTTTAAAGGCGCCTCGCCACGTCTTCAGCTGCAGGATGCAGGCTCTTTAGGTCGACTCGACTGGGGGTTTAGGCGGTTTATATGGGCTCATAGAGATAGGTGGTTTAGGCTGATAAGGGCATGTAGCAAGATAGGGCTTTTGTAGCGGGGATCATACGGAATCGCAAAGCGCGCAGCATGGTCTTGCAAAGGAAGGCCTGCAAACTGATACACAACGTCAAGTGTAACAACGGGTCTGTGCACGCTCGCACATTGGTGCGAGCCCAGCCATGGGGAGGTGCGCCCACCCTTGCCCATGCTTGCCCCTTGCTCATGATGCAATAGTTTCAGTTTCCAACAGGAAGAGCAGCCTGAGCATCCACATGTCAGCTTATGCGGTGCGTACTGCAACTTTCTGGATCAGACTTTTGCTCTCGGTCACCATGGCCGGTGTGGCCGACTTGTCTGGCCTCGGGGAGACCTTGTTCTCCGATGCTGAAGTGAAGGACCGGTTGATGGAGGAAGCGGCTTCGGTGGGGCTAGTGCTTCCAGCTGAGGGGGACAAGGTGCCCACCCCCAGCCAGGAGACTGTGATTAAGAACGAGGTGCTTTTGTGCCCGATTATAACCGAAATGAAGAGGGCATTCTCTTTGAAGATCCCGAAGCTTGAGGCTATCAGTGAGCAGCTAGGAGTTGCATGGACAAAGTACTTCAAAGCGAAGCAGAAGCGCCGTGTAAGAGGAAGGATCCCAGATTTGCCAGTAGGCTTTGAGCTCCCGGAGAATGTGCAAGCCCAGTGCGTTGTAGATGCCAAGTACTTGAAGCCCCTTTTGTCGCTGGCCAAGAAGCAGTTCCTGAGCGACAGGGTGGCCCGAGAGTCTCAGTACCAACTTAACCCTGTCTGTGGCCACTTAAGACCACTAGGGATTTTTCGCAAGCAAGCTAGTGCTTCGATCAACACGAACCATAAATCCGAGGATGAAGATTTCCGTCGCATTGTGGCCAACTTCGGGCAGAAGGCGCAGTGGTTTTGGTAGGGGTGCACAAAGTGGACATGGCAGATTTTGTTGAAGTTTTGGTTCAGGCAATATATCCAGAGAGCCAAAGAAGCAAGAACCCCAACCAAGATGATGACGATGATCCTGCAGGCAAGGGTATGGGTTGTGAGGAGGAGGGTGAGGAGCAGCAAGATGAGGAGGCTGAAAACAATGAGGAGCAAGAGAAGCGCACGGCCGCCAAGTCACATGCCCGGCCGGCCAAGACACACGCATTCAGCGAAAAGACGCGGAAGGCTCCCGATGAAGAGGATTCGGGGGATGATTGCATGATCCTGTCGGAAGCTGCCAGTCCCGATGCGGGGCGACGTCTCCAACTTGCTTCAGCGATTGCCCGTGTGAAGGCGTTGATCGCTGCTCAGTTTTTTGCAAGACCATGTGCAGCTTTTCGAGGGTTTAGCAGGCCACTCTATCCTATCACTCCCCTAGGATTGATGAAAAGAAGGCCCGTGAAGCGGCCGAGACGCCCAATGTGCCCGCTGCCCGCACAGGCTCTGAATTAAGCACATTTGGCAAGGCGTGTGCCGGCTACGGTTGTTTTCAAATATGTTCAGCCCGAAGTATTATATATAAACCCTAAACCCTAAACCCTAAACCCTAAACCCTAAACCCTAAACCACCCTTATAAACCCTATATGCCCTAAACCCTAAACCCTAACCTATATATATACACAGACATACACCCACACACACACACACACACGCGCACACACGCACGCACGCACGCACGCACGCACGCACGCACGCACACACGCACACACACACACACACACACACACCCACACACACACACACAAACAGAGACACA